CATTACTGTAAAGAAAAGGTGTATGACGAATAGCAAGTGCAGAAATAAAAAAAGATATGAGACAGACAGAGAAAGAGACAGACAAAAAGGAATATTGCAATGTAGGCTATGATAAATAATAAAAGATGCTTTAGGTATTACAACAGCAAAACACAGTAAAGCATTAAGACAAAATGTATACAAGATAATAAAATTCTAGACTGGACTGGAGAATTGCTAATGTAGTGTCCATAAAAGCAGTGACAAAAGGGAGCCAAGTAATTACAGGCCAATAAAGTCAGACTTCTATTACATGTAAGGTTATGGAAATTCCTAGTATCTCCATACCTAGTACCTAGAATTAAAGAAGGCTTTTGATAAAACGTCTGATAAAAGATTAATTTTCAAATTACAGACGATTAGCATTTGTGGCAATGTGTGTGTTTAAGAATTGGTTAATGGATAAAAAGCAGATAAAGAGTGAGAAATAGTTAAGTTTGATTAACCAAATACAAAAATAGAAGGATTAGCAAACAGAATCAAAGTGTCATAGAATGCAAACTGTTGAAGGAGGAACAGGCTGTGATTAAATAAGCTGTATTAGTGGCCAGGATTGTGTCAAGTATACCTCCACCCAAAATTTTCAACTTCAAAGTTTTCTATTGCTGACAGCAGGGCAGGAATCAATTAGCAACAATTTAAAAACACACTGGCTGTCCAGACATGAAGTAATTACCACACCCTTGAAACTGACACATGGAGGTGTGAGGGATTGCTGAGCCAGTTTGGACCAGACCTGATCAAAATATTCAAACTCATCATTTTGACACAAGTAAACCAATGGATTTCTTCTAAGACTAGAGGACACAAAAGAAAACAACAAGAACAAGAAGCACATCTTCATCTTAACATTTATGTGAGTAACATAATGAGAACAAGCTATCCAGCCAAGCTCTCAATGCCCTGTTGTCCTTCAAGAAACAGCTGGAAGAGATCCAATAATTTACTGATTTTGTTTGATTTTATTACTTTAATTTCTTATAACAACACAGGTTGTAAAAGATGAACAAAGAATAACATGAAAAAAAGATTTAGAAAAATCTCAAACCTCAGTTTCTTTGCATAACCGTTCAGCCTTTTCCAATTGCTCCAAAAGCAATTCCTGCTGTTTTTTTGATTCTTGAAGGTCTTCGTACTGTTTCTCTAAAATTCAGTTTCAACAAATATTTACATTTTACAATAAAAAGAATGATATTTGATGTACAAACACTGTGAGCTTTAATTAAAAAAAATCATACTTGCAGTTTCTTCTAGCTGATCACAGCTCTGTGTTGATTCTTGAAACTTTTGCCAAATTTGTTGAAGTTGACTGTCTTTATCATTAATCATCTCTGAAAGCTTTAATACCTTAAAATACATATAGTTTATTAGAAGCAAATAAAAGAGATTTTATTTTCATAATCAGACATACATGAACAACATAACTCCTTATTTTCTATAGAACCCTGTTACTCAATAATAGTAAAAATCTCCAGCCTTGCTTAGTTTCCTAGATCTGACTAAATTATGCAACAAGTAGTAGTGCTTGGTAGCGGTAGTGCTGCTGTCAGCTAAAACACAAACACATACTGAATATCACCAAAATGTACTTCATTTCAAATGCTTCCACTCAGATCTAACCCCTGTGTAATGACATAAAACATTTATTTTACTGGGTTTTGCTGAATTAAGAAGAATAGGGATCTTGAGATCACCACTTGCAAACAATCTGAATAACAAATTCAGATCAAAGGGACAGGCACATACAGATAAAACCCTGGATAGTTAATTAACATAATTACATATTATTAAGAAGGTTCATGTGAAAATTACTTGATTGAGTAAGCATAATTACAATGCACATTTAGAGAAATGTATTGACAGAAACCACTGTAGCCACTAACCTCTTCTTGCTTTTTCATAAGCTCTTTCTGAAACTCCTGTCTAGCTTCTTCAAATTGTTGCATTCCTTCTTTTGCTGAAAATATAATTAATTATTTGGTAAATATAGTATAAAATCTTTTTTGTTACATTAATGGATCTTATTTTCATGATAAGATATATAATAATTTCCCATTGCAAATGGGGTTACTCAAACTCTCTTCAACATAATGTTGAAAAAAGAAAAGACATGATCATTGATTATAGAAAGCAACCAAGAGCTGCAAAACCAAGTCACTGAGGAGTAAGAAATTGAAAATGTCAGCAAAAACAAACATCTTGACACTATTATTGATTACAAACTAACTTTGAGGAGAGCATGGATGCCATATGTAAGAAGATCCAATAGTGATTAATCTTTGCGAGAAAACCCAGCTGTTTGATGTGTTTACTACAATAATGGCTTTATTCTTTAGAACTTTCACTGAATCTGTCTTAACATTCACTGCGCTATTAAATTATAAGAGCTACAGCTATCAGACATCTATGCCAAACAAACAGTGCAGGAGTCCAATAGAAACATTTACTGTCACGACCATCCCCTGCACATTTAAGCTCCTTCCATTGGGCATCAGTTTAGACTACCTTTGTTCAAATACAATAGAACCTATCTTTTATTTCCACTGCTGTTAATCTGTTTATTGAGAACAGTTGATAGTATTGTTTGTTTTTCTCATCATATATGTATTATCTTATATTCTCATGTTCTGTTAAATGCACTATACAGTATATTGTGTTTTGTCTATTACCTGCCTGCAAAGCAAATTTCTCTCCTTGATTGATGAAAGAAAGTAAGGTAACAACCATCACTGAATGACTGCAGATTGCATAAAAGTAAGTTTCAATTTGTATCAGTATTATTTTTGAGACCATAGTGATACAAACAACAAACTAAAATGAAACCACTTGGTATTCATGTCACCAAAAGGAATGTCAAAAAAGCTAAATCTGTATTTTTATCATTATGTTCAATAATGCTGCATCAGGATTAGGGCAGTAGTGCCTAATCCTGATACAAGGAGAGACCCAGTCCAGCATAAAATACATTTCTAAGGACTTGGAATAAGTTAATTGTGATCAGTTACAGAAGAAGGTAATTTTGATTGGGTCATTTAGGACCAAAGCTTTAATGAATATCAGCCCCCAAGTCCCAGCATTCTTGTGTAATACATTTGCTTAATTCAGCAATTTGCAGGTGTTCACAATCTTTAGTAGCAGGTGACCAATAAAAACTACTGGTTTTGGGCTCTCCAGGGTTGGACATCCCTGATCTAGGGATACACATAGAATTTCCCAACACAAGATTTTGCATTCATTTCAAATGTATACATAATCTTTTTTCCTGACATGACAGTAATCTTGTGATTTTAGCTTTCTAATAAAAAAATGCACATTTCCACAAATTTAAATTGTAAAACAAAAAACATTTTGTTAATTTCAAGACTAACATTCTCCAATTTAATTTACTTTTAATTATATATTGGAAGTCTGAAGGTGATAGTATAAAATTGTATTAGAAGGAAGACTTTATTGCCCTTAGCATTTCATTACATGGCTCGTATTATAATTTAATAAAAGAGGTCAGTAGCATTCTATTTTGAATAGCAGATGTTTTTAGCCAGGACCCATGGGCCTATGCAGCAGCCTTAGGATCTGTCTGTGGAGATAAAAACTGAAAGACAAACTTTTAACTTACAATGAAGAAATCCCAATTAACTCCTTTTCTATGTTATTTTCAATTGTCACCGTATACCTTATTACAGAATCTACTCCATAACACTCACATTTTAGCATCTCATTTCTTTCAGCTTCAGCTTGCCTCTGAAGGTTTTCAAATGCCACAATCATTCTCTAAAATTCAACACAAAAATACATTATTAAGTTAAAATATTATGTGTGATATGTTCCTTAACTATGAAAAATTCATTTGAAACTTACTTGAATCCTTTCATTATTTTGTACAGCAAGATGATGAGTTTCTTTTCTTTCAGATTCATCTGTAATTAAAATATATTTGTTCCTTTTAGCAAACATACATGAGCTAAGTAAATTAATTATGCTGATTAAGTATGTTGATGACAAAAATGTTAATTAACATGTGATCCACTCATGTATTTTTCAGGCTAGCAATGTGTGCATTTACTGTTAATTTAAGTCAATGAAATTTAAACTGCCATGTTTGGCAAAGGCTTTCCTAAACATTGTAGAAGTCTTTTTGTAGGATTTTGTCCCTTTCAGGTTTCACAGAACCTGATCTTTGATCAGTAGATGCCAGGCATTATCCCAGTTCATCCTACAAATATTCAGTGGGGCTTATGGTGAAGCATGGACCTTCCCATTGATTACACTGATGTACACAACAATTATTGTACTCTACCGAAAAGTGCATCACATGCTGACATTTATCAAGGTCATCTACACAAAACCTGGATTCATCATTAAAGCAGACTTTCTTCCTCTGCTGGAAAGTTTACCTGAAATGTTTAGTTAACATTCTGATAGCATGAAGACATTCTCTTTAATAAGAGCAGCGTATTAATTCCTTTATATGTTTTGCTTTCTTGATTTTTACTAGGCTTGACATTCAACATTAAATTACCCGATCACTTCTGCTGAATCAACTCTCTCACTAATTAGGTAATATAATAGCTATGCAACAATTACTGAAATGTATAACAATCAAAACAATTAAACAATATCTCCAATTATTTTCTAAAAATATATATTTCTTTTAATTTACAGTATATAAAACATATTTTCTATACGATTTATATTTATGGTTTACTTACATGTATTCATTTTTTCCCCTGTTCTTTCAAATGTTTCCTTTAACATTTTGCACAGATTTTTTATTGCAATGTTTCTATAAGAAATAAATACACATTTTGTAAAATAATATGTTTCTAAAAAAACACAAATAGTAGCTTGTGTTATCAATAAGATAAAAAACAAAATACACATATATGTAACAATTTAGCTTCCAAAATTTGCCATTGTCTTGTGATACAAATTATGACCTGAAATTATACTTTGGGTGGCCCATTGTTGTAAACTTTGTGCTCTGAAAGCTTAATGAAATATTTTTTAGTCTAGACATAAATATTAGATGTTATTGGCAGATACTGAATTATCACAATAATTCATGTCACTTCAATTTCGTCTCAAGCAGTTCAAGTTCCTATGATTGCCCATTTCTTCCCAAAATAATAAGTATTATAATGTCTGTACTATTACCCCACATAGGGCAGGAAGGGAAAACCAAGTAACCATAAAACACTTGCTCAAAGTGTATTAGAGAGAAGTACTGTATGGAGTTTAGTTTCCTCAGTTTTAAATTTAGTTTTACATTTTTGTGTTGTAAATGAACAACCACGGACTGTTGAACGTAAATACTACGTATAATATAAAATATAGTAATGACAACAGCCAGACAACAGAATAACAACAGACTGTTGTAATCACTGAGTACAGTACGTTACTCATTTTCGGGCTACAGTAGCTGGACAAGCAAAATTGGCATTTGCCCAGAAAATCGTTTATATATGAATACAACAGTGTAAAAACGATGTATGGAACAATACAAAATGACCATCAATGGATTTTGGATTTTCATTTAAAATTCAAAAGTAACTTACTTGTTCCTTAGATCTTTATTTTCATTCATTTCTTCTTCCACTTTCATACTAAGACTCTCATTTTCAAACTGACAAAACAAACATTTTTTGTCAAAAAAACAAACAATGCCCAAAACGATCAATGATAAACAGTCAAAATACAATATTATTCAGTAGCATTATTTTATACATGTATAAAGGTGTTTTATGTGCCTTAAGTCTGTGGTGTATTTAAGAAATTAGCTGTATTGCACTATACAGTACATGTCTATAATTTCAAAAGCTCAAAAATAATAATTATTCTTAACCTGTAATTCCTGAATGGCTTTGCGTTGGTTCTCAATTGTTTTTTTGTTCTCCTGGAGTTTTTTGTCTTTTTTTTGGATTTCAGAATCCATGTTAGTTTTCCAGCATTTTATCTTCTCAGCCTCCTGATACAGCTTGGAATAGAGCTGATTGATTTTCTCACTTTTCTGTGGAAAGAAATTAAACTTAATCACCCATCGAATGAAAAACATGAGCACATGTGCTAAGTTTTATCACAAATTTAAATATTTATTAAATAAAACTGACCACCTACTTTATAATATACTGTAGTTTGAGAAGAATACTTTTGAAAAAATGAAAAAATAAATCACATAAATGAATCACAAGCAAATCGTTTCTCAATTACCTCTTCTTGAGTTGGAATTATAGCTATCTCTTTTGCTGCATCTTAAAAATAAACATGACATTTAAATTAAAAAACAGATAAAAAATCAAACATTTGATGATTATAATCAGTTTAATCTTCCTGTTTCTTTCAAACATTAATTTTAATATGTGCAGATCTATGAGGCATATATTATTTTATATTAATCACTCATGAAAAAACTAAATTATAGATATTGTTTTGGAAAATAAATCTCCTGTTTACCCTCAACAAATCTTTAAACTAAAGGTTTGACTATGTTAAATACTAAATACACATAATACTTGACACAGTTTATGGATATTGATTACAGAATTAGAAGCAGAAACCAGACTAAAATAAGGAACTCTAGGAATCATGTACAGTACTTTGTAAGACAACTAGAAACTGTCCTTTCATTTCAGTTATGTTTTATTTTTTAGAACTTTATTTATTCTTAAAATTTATATTTAATATTTTTTTCAATTTCATATTTCTAAATATCATTAACATGCGGTGTTTTAGTTCATGGAATAACATTATAATGAATACTATAAGTGTATTACAGTACAAAAACAATAAAAAATGGAATCACTACTACCAAAACAAAACAGAACGTTTGTTTTCAACTAAAATGCCAATTTTTGTCAGAAGGAATAATAAACATAATATGGTAAGATGAATAATGATATCTTTCCATTTCCCCTCACATTACCTGGCTTAATAGGCTTAGAAGCCATTGCAATGCCAGACTTTGGCACTGAGAAATTTGACTCATTGTCAAAGAGTGTATTCAGAGCCTGAAAAATATAGAAAGGAACACTAAAAAATATATTTTATCTATATTTACAGAAAATATAAATGAAATGATAAACAACCATAACAATACCTATCATCTTAGAGGCATATATTTAAATATAGTCAGCAGCTGTATCACTGTGCAACTCACAATTGGCTACTCAATGAAGCTAAGCAGGTCCTGGCCAGTACCTGGATGGGAGACCACCTGGGAAGATTGCTGCTGGAAGAGTAGTTAGTGGGGCCAGTAGAGTTCTACTGGGATCCTAATGACCCAGTTTAGTGAATGGGACACTATCCTGGAAAAAAAGGCACCATCATTTGGATGAGATGTGAAACTTAGGTCCTGACTCTTTGTGGTCATTAAAAATCCCAGGGTGTTTCTTGAAGAATGTATAGATCTCAACGTCTGTGTTCTGGCCAAATTTCCCCCTGGCCTTTACCAGTCATGGCCTTCTAATCCCAGCTATAAACTGCCTTCTTTACTCGGCTCTCCTCCCCACTAATAGTTGGTGTGTGATGAGTGTACTCGTGCACTTTGGTTGACATCGCATCACACAAGTGGGTGCTACACATGGGTTGTGGTGGAGGTGATTCCACATTGCCTGTAAAGTGCTTTGAGTGGAGTGTCTATAAAAGCACTTTAAAAGTGTAAGGATTATAAACAACAACAACAACAATAATAATATCAACAATTAAATTTTACAGCCCTCTTATGTTGTTTTTTTTGCACATTGCCATGAATGCCACAATATCAGGTATGGAAAGATGACCCATGGCACAGCCACAGCACAGTGCATGATGGAAAGGGGTCTCACTCTGTACTAGGGTGTACTATAGGCAACACAGGAGGTGTATACGTAGGAGGGCTGCTTTTTAGTTTGCATTATATACCCAATGGGTTTGAAATCTATTGCTGGCGACCGAGTCTGAATTAGAAAAAGCTTCAAGTAAGGCTGTTTCTTTCTAAACTTTAAATATGTTCTTTTTCTTTTGCATTTTTTTCGTTGTTAAGGCAATTTCAGTTACACCTCAATTAGCACAGGAATTGCCACATTAGCAGCACACTGTAAGTACCCTGAAAATTAAGACCAAACTGCAACAAATCTAAAACTGTCCTCAAGCCTGTAATTTGTGACTTGTTCGACATTATGTGGATTATGTGTAACTAAACTGTATCTGCAACCAATCCCAAAAAATCTCACTCCTCCTTGGAAAAAGTCAATGTATTGTTATTGGAGCTGGAGGAACTGAGTAAGCATAATATAGAGGAAATAACAAAGCCCATGTTCATGGCGATTTGCATCCTGAATCATTAAAGCAACAGCGCAGTAAAACTGGTGCTGTCTCTGACTGTCAGGTTGTCAAAAGTGAAATAGAGCATTCTGTCCAGTTCTCTCATCTAATAACGTATCACCACTCTGCTCTACCCTAAGTCCTGCTAACATACAGTACAATTAGAGACTTAAAGCTGGTGAAGTCTAAACAATAGACACAGTAACTTCAATTGGTGCCAGTGACACCAAAAACACAAAGCATTTGTGGGAGCTCTGTGAGATATGCATTCAGGACTCCATGTCAACAAGAGTGTGCTGTCTCCTTGGAGTTAAGATTGCTAACATTGTTGAAAGAGCAGACAAAGGCAGGTAAAAACCTAATTGTTTTTTGTTTTCCATATTAGGACAAATAATATTGATACAAGCAGCAAACTGGCTATGTTAAACAAACTCACAGATCTACGAAAACAAACAAAAAGAGCACCACCCAGTCACTTGTCTTCTCATGAAACCTGCCTGCACCACACGAAAGTGCAAAACTGTAAATATCAATCGATAAACATAAAACCTGATTGAGAACACATCAGCTTTCCTGGCCACTGGAAACCTAAGG